TGGTGATTCCTGTTCATTTGCGTCTTTACAATAGAAGTGATTCTGGTGGTTTAGTTGCCGCCAGATTGCTTCTACGGGCCGGTAAAGTGCCCGCCCCCCGACATGTTTCCCGGGCTCCACTGTCCCTCCTGCAGGCCTGGGACCGCCATATCGGGTGCCGGCGGGAAGCTGTGGAGGAGAGCGGCTAACGTCTGATCACTGATCTCCTCCCCGCTCTATGGGACCGGAAGCGACAAGTATTACATCACTTTTGGTCCCATAGCTGTCATTGCCATTGTGGTATATTATCGGTTGAACTATGTGTTTTATCACGTACGTCGAACCCGTTTCCCTCCTGAGTGTATACTGAGGAGAAAAAATTGTTCAGCGCCTCTGCCCTTTTCTTGTCACTTGGGAGTAACTTCCCATTTTCGTCCTTTATTGGGCCTATCTGCTCCTTTCTTACCTTTTTTACTGTTTTTACTGTTAATATATTAACAGTATACGCGGAGTACGCGGTCCAGTTTTGGTCGCTGGTACTGAGAAGGGATGTCATGAGCAAGTATACATGCATCCGTACGGACGCGCTGGGCGGGTGAGCGTAGGGGGGTGTAAAGCTGCATGCTAATCATACGCAGCACCTGTCCTTCCCGGGAGCTGCCCGATACGGCTGTGCACACAGCACGGAGCTGTACATGTCGGCCGATTCCAGTGTGATTGAGCTCTACATGTCCCCAGGAACATAAAATAAAACATTTTTGTTTTTTAATACTCACCTGATGCCTGGATTCACCGACAAGCCCGGCTTCCTGTCTCCCCCGCTGTCAGAAGCTGCCTACAGAGCGTGCTGGTTACTACTTAAACCGCCACGCTGTGTGCAGCTTCTGAGAACATATGCTATTAGCGTAGCGTGTGTGATGCAAAGTGCGCAGCCGGCTTCCTCGCTATGCTAATAGCGTATCTTCTCAGAAGCTGCACACAGCGCGGCGGTTTAAGTAGTAACCAGCACACGCTGTATGCAGTTCCTGACAGCGGGGGAGACAGGAGGCTGGGCTTGTCTGGATCCAGGGATCTACTTAATTTTCTGGCAGTGCCCCTCCCGAGAATAGACTCTGGATCCGCCCCTGAGGGAAACCAACTGAAAACGCTCAAGTGTTTGTTGGGGTCTTAAAGTGTAATTCTACATTTGCTGTAAAATTAGAGAACCCCCACTATATGTTATTGTTATGTTTGGTATGTGTTCCTATTCACACAGCATACCTAAAAATATTACAAAAAAATTATTAGCTTTTTGTTTTTTTTAAAAAGTGTTAATTATTTTTCTCCAAACCAGTACATAGTTAAGATAAAAATAGCAATTTTAATCCATCTCATGTATATTTACAAAACTATCTAAATATTGTTACCTGTTTAATTCTTAACTAATACAGTAATACCTTGGTTTACAAGTAACTTGGTCTGAGAGTGTTTTGCAAGACAAGCAAACATTTCTGAAAAATTTTGCCTTGATATACAAGCAATATCTTGCAATAAGAGCAAAATTTGGTAGAAAAGCACCCCCCGAATAAGGCTGTAGCAGTGCGAGCGATGAGTCTCTTTAACGACAATGCAATGTCACATTGGATAGATTCATTGTTAAGGTTTCACAAAATGAAAAAGATTCCATTGAGTCAAGAGATAGCAGTGATTCCGTTAGTCATAGTGAAAGTCGTCCTACACAATAATCCTCCTCTCTCTTGTCCCCCTCACCCCATATAATACCCTTAACTATGGGAGGCTATGGAGCTCAGCTGCGGAACCCCGTTCCGCGATACAGACCCACGACCAAGGGTATTGTGCAGCAATGAATCTCGCCACTAAGTTCTGAGCATCATTGCACCAATCTCCCAAGAAGAGGGTTACCTGCCTGCCCCTTAGTAACTAGCCTGCCTTACTTGAGTTTATGGTCTTCTTTAGCAGTTGGTTACTACTAGCATAAACCAATGTATCACTGTACATTAATTATTTCTAACTACAACATTATTCCATTTAATGTCGTTTGCTATTTTTATCCTGCACCCCCCAACCCTCTCCTAACACAAAACAAAACAAAACAAAACAAAAAACACTAAATACTAGAGTATCTCAATGAAATATCTACATTAATAGTTACACTTGATCCTATATTCCTGAGAATAGGTGAATTGCATCCAACTAGACCAGATATAGCCAAATTTCTCTTCTCTAAGGTATGACGACGATGTAAGTTCTTCCATGTCTCTAATTTCAACAAATTTAGAGAACCACAGTTGGATTGATGGTGGTGTCTCCTTTCTCCAGGGCAAGGGTATGCAAATTCTTGCTGTTTTCACCAAGTGTATTAGTAATGAGCTCCGATATTTCTTCCTGGAGAGTGGAGAAACATGTAACCAATAGGCTGCTGGATTCTCCCCAAAAATGTATTCCAGTTAATTTATTAATAGAACCCCTGACTTGGTCCCACAAAGATCGTATTTTTGGGACATGACCAAAATATATGGACAATAGTGCCATCTTCGTTTCCACACCTCCAACATTTATCCGACTCTTCCGGCTTAATCTTATGCAGCAAAGTTGGGACTCTATACCACTGTGTTAGAATTTTATATCCCACTTCTTGGAATCTCCTAGAAATAGAGGAATATTGAGTTCTTAGCTTTCTAGTTATTTCTTTGAAGCAGGATTATACACAGGACTCTGTCAGTTAAATTTTTAAGAATTACTTTTTATAGGGACTATATAGAAAATCTGCATTAACATACAATGTACCACTCAGACCTTGAGATCTTTAACCCTTAGTTAGGGCAGACAACGTACACATCTCTGATTATAACATTTGCCAGGACAGTACAGACAAGGTTTGTGGAAAATATGACTCCCTAACCCCCCTCCTTTAGAAAGGGAGAGGGAAGTAAGATTTGTATAGCCTTTTTTTTTTTTTTTTTTATAGCAAATACGCAGCAATTTTAATTTCCTTTTTTTGTAAGTTTTGCTATGGAAATGGGAACATGTAATGCATATAAATTAGGTGTTATCCTAATTTGGCTGCAAAAATGGAACTACGTGTTAAACTTTCCATTTCCTGAGTTGCTAATTTATTTAGACTTTCTAATGAAGCTACAGATTTACCTTTCTCACAAGGTCATCTGAGATGTGACCTACAGTAGCTGTAGAACAGATGCCACTTTTTCACCACATAAATTGTAAACCATTTACAAATGTAAATAATTGCTAAATCTATTAGCACTAAACTTGTTGAGTGGCCCTGTGTAATAGTGGGGTCACTTGTTAATATATGTGCATGTTTTCATCAGTAATCCTATTGAGGTACGTACTGCTATACATTCATATTTGCCTCAGCCTTATCCTGTACCCCAGTTTAAGAATCTAAAAATAAAAGTCCTGCATAGAGCTGACGGCACAAGATGCCTGTTATTTCCTATATTAGTCTGGTCTTTATAACCCATAAAGTCAACCTTCCCAAAATCCTGAATGCAGCCCTGTTAAATGTTGCTTATCTTGATGCAAGCAGTTGTGTTGCCTGTCATCTGCTGTTTTGTTTTCCCCCTGAGAGAACCAGCAATGAGCAGGTACTTATTGCTCATTTAGAGAAATTACAATGGCTTGAGGTTAGCGGTTTTTTTATGTAGATCTCCAGCTCACAATATTAAAATAAAATGAATAGCCCAATTAAAGATAAAATAATGAAACCAACTTTCATGTAATATTCAGTTTCAGTCCAGAGATTTTCCCCCAGGTCCTTTTTTGTGTCATTAGATGTAGTCAGCCTGATAGCCAGCATCATTCAAACCAACTTCCTCTGGACCTGCCCTAGTCTGTGAGTGGACAGTGAAAGGAGAAGCAGTACAGTGATGAGCTTATCTTTCAGTTAGTTCCCTTCCTATCAGCATGCTTCTTGTCAACACATGAACTGATTATCTCCTTGTTCTGCTTCAGGTACTTACATTGCACATCCGTTATTGACAAAGTGACAACACTATTTGTTCTGCAGTGAAATTGCATCGTTGCATTGTCACCCTGTAGACAGAACTTGCCTGGTACACATTTGAAAAGGAGCCTAGAATGCTACCTGCTTGCTGGAAACTGGAAAACATAGAATGTGCAATATTTGATAATTTCATGGCTGATTTTGTTGTGCATTTGTGTTTGTTTAGCCCTGAACATAATAAAGAAAATATATTCAAAACACTATAAATCCCCTAATGTGCCATCAAATGGGGTGGGAAGATAGAGGCTTTATTTCTTTGCTCGTGGTGGCTGAATAGACTAGGGGAAAGTGCAAATGGAAAGTATGTGCAGCTGAGGAGGGTGGTTGTTAAAAAATAAGTGAACTTTTGGACAAAGTGCACTTATTCTCTTTGCCCCTCTGACCTGATACCAACCTTGCCTTCTGCATATCTATCCTGATCGAGATCCAAGGGCTACTGTTCCACTGTTTGCTGACATCTAGCCCTGCAAGTCTCCTTCTCCTGGTGGTGTCCATCTTCCTGCTAGGAGACAGCCCTATAGAAGTCTGTGTCAGCTGTAATGTTCTGGTGTGGCCAGCAGAGGGAGTATAACAGTACTGGATTGTAAACAATAAAGGAACCGTGCCTGAATCTCGGTAAGTACAGATCGGTAGAGTGGGATCTTAAAGGTCGGGTGGGGAACAAAAAGGAAAAGCGTGCTTTGTTTTAAATTAAACCAATTGTTTTGCCCTTGGATGGGATTTACCTTGAATAGGCAAAGTAAAGGTCCACTTTAAGACTGGGATATATCAGGGCTGCAGCAGGGGGATATGAGAGAAAAACAGGACTTTCATCAAACTGGTCACACACCCCTTGTGTCCTTTTAGAATTGGATATCAACTTTTAGATGTGCTTATCTTTTAACAAACAGTACTCACTTTGGATCTTGGCATTCATGCATTGCCTGAATGAGTAAGATTGATATCTAAAAGAATAATTAAATTAACATTTTTTACAAATTTGACTTTTCCATAGGATACTTATGTGTCTACATGGAGAAAGATGAGTCTCTGGGTGCCACCTTGATTTTGGCCTGGGTTCCTAACTCTCGCATCCAGCGTCAGGATGAAGAGGCCTTGCGTTACATTACACCTGAGAGTTCCCCTGTCCGAAAAGTTCAACGAAAAAGAAATCGGCACCTTCCAAAAGCTGCCCCTTCCCCGTCTCAAAAACCGTCCACAATTACCAAAGAAAACACAGGAGACAGCCCAGGACAGAATGCTGCTGGATCTCCTGGAGAGCAGGATACCTTTGATGTCTCTGCAGAGGGGACAGGGGATGTTGTAGAGCAAGGCGAAGATGAAAGGTCTCTGGACATATCTTCTGATGAAGTGAGCAAAGACAGCCCTTTGGACTCAGATTCTGATGCATTTTCTTCCCCCTTTTGTCTGTCCCCTATAAGCGAAGCTCTGGCAGAAAGCACTGGTTCTGTTTTTTTGGAGAATGAGATAAGGTAAGTTATAAGCTAAATTAATTCAACATATGAATGGAAATCTATTTACAAGAGGGAAGTGACATAGAAATATTGAATGCAAAGGCGTGGACTTCTGTGAGCTATTTACAATATTCTATTACACAAATCAAATCAACACTTTATTTTTGCTTCCCTTTTGTCTTATGTGTAAATCCCAGAAAAGATAATAGCCAGTGGTAGTTGGAGACCAATAGAGAACAACGTTTCAAAGACAGAGAGAAACCCTCAAGGTAGTAAACACACCGAGCAGAATTAATGTTTTGTTAACGACCTTGAGGAAGGTGTCCTTCGTGTCTCTAAGGCTGGGCACACACCTTACAATCATCGCAAGACTTTTCCGATGACCGCAATTTTGAACGGGCAGTGTGCGCTTGCGCATACCGGCCCCTGGGGCTTTTATCTTGCGAACATGCCACAAACCAGCCGAACATCGTACGATGGTCGGCTGGTTTTCAAACATGTTCCTAAAGTAAAAGTTGTGCGACCTTACAGTAGCAGAGGTCGCACGGCTCCCACACACCTTACGATAATCTTACGATCGCGGGATTTCCCGCGATTATCGTACGGTGTGTGGGCACCTTTAAACATTTTGTCTCTGATGTACTACAGTAAATTTTCTAATCTTCATCTGTGGAGTGCTTGCTGTTATCTTTTCTTAGCATGTTCAAGAACACTGCTTTAAAACACTCCTGGCCAGCTGACTGAATAATGAACAATCAGCAGAACAAGAATTAGGTTAACCTGTTGCTTCCTCTACTCTCTCCCCTGTTAAGGTGCCCACACACCTTGCGATAATCATACGATAATCGCGGGAAAATCTGATTGCTGCTGATTTTAACCATTCCCTACTCTATCCAAAACAAAAAAACAAACAGATTTTTGCGTTAGATATACTTTATATAAAAGCTCTCGGAGAGAGTGGATGATTGGTACCCCTCTTGCCGATATTAGAAAGGTAAGCTCAGATTAGGCTGTCTACAGATCCCTACAGTCTACAGATACTTCACAACATCATCAACCACTCCTGGCTGATTAACTATTTTTTTCTGGATGATTTTCTGCCTGATTTGTACTGTTGAGCGCTGGGCATACACATTAGTCAGATATTACAAAATTGCTTTTCTTATCCTGTGTTTTGGAGAGAAAAAGGGAGGTCAGATCTTGTGTGCACAGTTTGATCATGTCTGATCTACTAGTTTTCCTTATGGGACTTCTATTTAATGCAACTAAATATTCAGCATATTCAACGATTTTCATCAACAAATGCTGCACATTTTCATCTCTCTAAAGTTCTTGCTTCGAATCCTTCACAAAATCAACATTTTACACTGGGTGCTTTTTTTTTCTGGGCTTTCTTGGCCTTGTATGACATATCAAGATACGTAAATCAATAAAAACAGCTGATCCATGTTCTGCTTTTGTGTAAGCGATCTGCTTCTTTTGATACATCTCATGCCCACCAGTGCAAAACTAAATAATCACATGGCTATCTCTCCACATAGCACACCATGTAAAAGGACAAGAAAAGGGGTAGAAACACAAAATGGCACGATGCGCCTAAAAGGAGATGGATGGGCAAAATGGTCAGCTGCTGTTGCTCTGCAGTGAAAGTTAGTAAAACTGAGAGGTTGCTATAGTATCTCTGAATGCCAGAGACCGACCACCACCATAATCTGCACTAATGTTTAGGATCAGCCCTCAGTATAGAACAGGGATGACCACTAAAATTGGTTTATTTAGCAATCGACTGACCACAATCATAACCACTATTAGAGCCAGAAAGCAATTACCATAATCTTTACAAGAGTCTGGGACTGACTACTGATAAGTGTATCAGAATCCAGGAGTAAACATAACCAGCTTTAAAGTTTATTATTGATTGCTTTCAAAATCACACTTAGAGCAAGGGGACATAATCACCACTTATGTCAGGGAGTGACTTACAGTATAACCATCACTGGAGGCAAGGAGTGACCGACAGCATAATCATCACTAGAGCCAGGGGGTAACTAACAGCTTTGTCATCACCAGAGCCAGAGGGTGACCAACAGTTTATTTTCAACTAGAGTCAGGTAGTGACTAACAACATAATTACCACTAGAGCAAGGGGGTGACTTACTGCTGAATCCCCATTAGATACAGGGTGGGACTAACAACTAAATTACTATTAGATGCAGGTAGTGACTAACAGCATAATCACCACTAGAACAGGGGGTGGTCAACAATTTAATCACCTTTTAGAGCCAAGGAATGGCCAGCACCATTATCTAGAGCCGGGTAATGATCAAATGCTAATAGCTACTAGACAACCATCCTAAATATCAATATAGTCAAAGATATACCTTCTCAATATTGACAAATGGAGCCTGGGGGGTTAGTCACTCTCTATATTATATAATCATTAGTTGTGCTACATTCCCTGTACCTGAACCTGTAGCAATAAGTCGGTCATAAGTGGGTTATGCAGTAAAGCAGAGAAGAAAGATGAAACAGCTTGTTTCATCTTTCAGAAGTCAGCAGTGAAACAGCTTGTGTTAGGAACCCATTTTCGGTTGATTCACCCAGCTAGGTAGTGGCTGGCAGGTTTCTCTTCCATCTGTGGGACAGTCCACATTGGTTCTTCGCTGGTGGTGAACATATAAGGTGTCCTTGAAAGATGGCTACTAAGTGTTACGCATGCCACAAAATGTGGTCTTCTTTCACAAGAATTTTATTAGTACATGTTAGCCGCTGTACAAAAAGAGGGCCACATAATATATTGAGTGCTGTGATGATAGAGGTACTTTAGATATACAGCATAGGTATACAATAAATAGGGCAATGATACAAAAACAGTACCAAAATGTGAAGAATGGCATTGAGGGACCCAAGTTTCAAGGGCAAAAATGTTACCATCTCACCAAAGTGAGATTGAATAAAATAAGACCAAAAAGGGAAGGGTTTCCCCCTTAAAGTAGGGTATACACTGTTATTTTTTCTTCATTCAACCTGCAGTCTGAACAAAGAAAACATAATAGATTCCTCCATCCACGCTAAACATGGATGAATCCCCCGCTGTTTTTTGCTGGCCGCTGTCAGAATACCCGAACAGTGCTTGCAGCTGATTGGCTGGAAGCACCGTTTGGCTGAAGAATATTTAACATGATCGCCTTCTACCTATGGAATAGGGTCACCAACGGAGCTAATTTAAGCTGATTCAGGGAACAGGGAAATTTGTGCCATGTTTACCCACCTTAAAGTGACATTAAACCCTCAGATTTTTTAACATAAACCAATACTGTAATGTGCGCCTTGCTGTAATCCATGGTTGTTTTCCTTCTCTTTGCTGTTCTTCCTTTTAAATCTGTATCTGTTCTCATGCTCTGCAGAACTTCTGTTTTGCAGCAGACTGCCTTGTCTGAGGAATAGATACATGGTGTCTGTGTATAGGCTTGTAACCTGAGCCAGCACTACAGGAAGAGGCCCTGAGCTGAAAAGGGAAGTTCTCACCAAGCATGAGAAGACATGAGGATTTAAAATGAAAAGCAGCAAAGAGAAGGGAAACAACCATGGATTACAGTAAGGCGCACATTACAGTATTGGTTTATGTTAAAAAATCTGAGGGTTTAATGTCACTTTAAGACTCCTATAACCATTCTATAGGGCCAGCAATGGATCTCGGGTTCCCTCTGGGTATACATATTGTATCCAAGATGACCATATTTTTAGGCATTTATTGTGAGAGTCTTAAAGAATAGCGGTCATCCTCTCATTAATCATTGTGCCCGATACTTTCTGGATCACTTCTTCTTAATTAAGGGAGGGTGACTGCCATGGCAGCTCTGAATATGAAGGTTACTAATATATGTTTTGGTCAAAATGATTGATTTATATAAAGCCACCCACGAATCCCTATGTAAGTTCCGCTGAAATATTGTTCTCTTTGGTGATAGGTTCGTATCTACAATTGCTGTACCTGAGGACAGGTCCACTATATATAATATCAGTGTACCCTGATCTGAATATCCCTGAATATGGTGAATATGGCATGGTGAATTACAGTGAAATATCGGTTGGCACATAACTTTATAGAAGTTTTCTAGGGCAAGTATATTAGTGGAGCTCTTTGAAACATTATACCAGATATCATTCCATTCCTCCATAGATGAGGATTTACCAATTTCATCTTCCCATTCAAACATATACAATAGCTAAGTGGAGTTTGTCATGGAAGTATATAGTTGTGAAATGAGACCATGTCTGTGGGGGTCCCAATTGCAGGTGCGTTTGAAATTCATAAGGAGCTAGATATCAGTTTTGTTTCTGATTTATAGAGTAAACAAGATATTTCAGTTGAAGATTTCTAAAGGCTTCGCTCACTGGGGCTTTATCATATCACAGAATTGCCTGACAGCATTGATTCAAGAGTGTTAATGTCCTTAAGGTCCCACCAGCTAAACTCTTGAGGATTGTCATGTCCTGGACGGAAAAGTGGGCATCCTACCAGGCCTGCCAGTGGTAAATGTGAAGATATAATGTCACTAGAATAATGTATGCAATGCCAAAGTTTAGGTGAATGTTGAATGATTGGGGATAGTGTATAAGGGTGCATGATCCTCAGGAGATACAGCTATGAGATGACACGAGTTTGGATGATTGTGTGCCACATCGAGGACCACTGTGTGATTTTTATCTGTGGCATATAGGCAAGTTGAAGGGGCAATTTGTGCAGCTAAGTAGCACATAGCAATATTAGGAACCCTCAGCTCACCAGAGCTTTTGGATTTGTACTACACATAGTTTTATTAATTCTGGGTCTTGTTTTCCCACCCACAAATATTGGAAGACTTTCCTTTAAAATGGTAAGGGCTGCACTAATGTGACACCTAATTAAACACAGACTTATATATAATGTGTAAATCTATAAACCATAAGCTGCTGTGAACTCAAAACATTTAGTGAATGTATTCTCAAATCATTGCGCTAACAAACTGATACTA